AAAATTACTTTGTTGGATGCTTCTGCTTGCCCATTACTTTGGGGAAAACTTGGTGTTGAAAAGTAATTCTTGATCTTGAATTTCGCACAAAAGTTCTTGATGAGTTTGCTGTCAAACTGTGTTCCGTTGTCAGCAATTATTGCTCTTGGAATGCCAAATCTGGTGATGATGTTTCTCCATATAAAGTTCTTGACGTCCACATCTCGAATTTTGGCAAGAGGTTCTGCCTCTATCCACTTCGTAAAGTAATCTGTTACTACCAGCAAGTATTTTCTCTACCCAGTTGCCTGGGGGAGTTGGCCAACAAGATCCATGCCCCATTGGGCAAACGGCCAAGGGCTGGATACTGGGTTCAGGTCAGCAGCTGGCTGATGTATTAAAGGTGCAAACCTTTGGCATTGTTCACACTTCTTCACGTAAGCTTCAGCATTCTTTTGCATGTAGGGCCACCAATACCCCTAGGTAATGGCCCTGTGGGCTAATGATCTACCCCCAGCATGGTTTCCACAAATTCCTTCATGAATTTCATATAGGAAATCTTCAACCTGCAAAGGGTGTACGCACCTTAAAAGTGGTCCAGTGAAGGACCTTCTGTAGAGGTGTCCATCTTCTGTCAGACAGAATCTTGTTGATTTCAGTCTGACTTTGTGTGCCTCCTTACGATCTTCTGGCAGCTTTCCTTCTTTCAGGAATGCAACAATTGCATCCATCCAGCTTGGCCCTATGTCCACACACATTGCTTGCTGCTTTGTACTCTCTGGTTCTATGCTCGGGCCCGACATATAGTCGATCATAATCGTTCTTGTTTTTCCAGTCTGCATTGAACTTGCCAAGTTAGCCAACGTGTCGGCGTGGGTGTTGTCATCTCGGCTAACTTGGAGTAGTCGGCAGTTCTGAAATAGGGCTGCCAATCTGATGACCTCTTTTGCATATGCCGACATCCTTTCGTCCCTAGCTGCAAATTCACCTGTTGACTGGTTAACAATGAGTTGTGAATCACAAAAAACTATTACCTCATCTGTTTCTGCTGCTGCTGCCAGTTTTAGCCCTGCAATTAATGCTTCGTATTCCGCTTCATTATTTGAGGCCTTGAACCCCAAACGGATGAACTGTTCTATTATCTCTCCATCTGGAGATATCAGCAGTACTCCTGCCCCCGCTCCTTGTCGGTTCGAACTTCCATCGACGAATAGTCTAAATGAGTCGCCGATGTAGATGCTGCAGGGTCTGAGCTTTTCCTTCTTTTGCTCCTTTGCCTTTGGCTGCGATTCTCCTTGCTTGCTGGGGCAATGCTCATCCTGGCTCAACGGAGCCCGATGTTCGATGGTTTCGGGCGTGAATTCTACCACGAAGTCGGCCAAAACTTGGCCTTTAATTGTTGTTCTCGGCCTGAACTCCAAGTCATACTGGCCCAGGGCTACTGCCCATCTTGCTATCCTTCCTGTTAAGTTTCCTTGCTGCAACAAAGACTTCAGTGGGTGCTCCGTTAAGACCACAATTTTATGCGCCTGAAAGTAATGGTTCAACTTCTTTGAAGCCATTACTAAGGCTAGCATTAATTTCTCCAGTGGCAGATACCTTGTTTCTGCACTGGCCAAGGTTTTGCTTACATAGTAAACAGCCTTTTGCTCTCATTTTTCTTCTCGGATCAGTACTGCACTGACTGCGTGTTCTGAAACTGCCAAGTACAAATATAGTTCCTCCCCTGGTTCTGGATTGGAAAGAACCAGAGTTGTGGTCAAGTACTTCTTCAGGTCGGTCAAAGCGGCTTCACATTCTTCTGTCCACAGAAAGTCTGTGGCTCTTTTTACCAAGTTGAAGAAGGGTCTGCACTTATCTAAGCTTCTGCTGATGAACCTGTTTAGGGCTGCGGCCCTTCCAGTAAGCATCTGAACCTGTTTTGCCAACGTCGGGCTCTACAGCTCTAGGATGGCCTTGATTTGGTCTGGGCTGGCCTCAATGCCCTTTCTCGTTACCAGATACCCTAAAAACTTACCTGATCCAACTCCAAACGCGCACTTTGATGCGTTGAGTCGGAGCCGGTATGTTTTGAGTATATCAAAGACCTCTTTTAGGTCGGCAAGATGACCCTTAGATTCCTTGGTCTTCACGACCATGTCATCGATGTAGACTTCTACCGTTTTGCCAATCAGGTGCTTGAACATCTTTGTTACTAACCTTTGGTAAGTTGCTCCTGCGTTTTTCAACCCAAAAGGCATTACCTTGTAACAGTACAGGCCTTTAGGGGTGATGAACGCGGTCTTCTCCTCGTCTGGAGGGTACATAGCAATTTGGTGGTACCCCCTGTATGCATCTAGAAAACTCATTCTTTCATGCCCTGAAGTAGTATCTACGAGCTGGTCAATCTTGGGCAGAGGAAAGCTGTCTTTGGGGCAGGCTTTGTTGAGGTTGGTAAAGTCTACACAAACCCTCCATTTTCCATTCTTCTTCTTCACCACTACTGTGTTGGACAGCCATGTTGGGTAGTGAACTTCTCGGATGGCCCTGGCCTCTAGAAGTCTGTCTACTTCTTCTTCTACTGCTTCGACGTGCATTAACGTCGGTCTTCTGGCTCGTTGAATCACAGGTTTTGCCGTCCTGTTGACATTCAGTCTGTGGCAAGTGACCTCGGGGTTAATGCCAGGCATTTCGTAAGGTGTCCAGGCGAACACCTCAATGTTGGTTCTCAGAAAATCTTCCAGTTCTTTTTCCTCTTCTTCGGCTAAGCCTGAGCCGAGAAGAAAGAAGCGTTCTTCGTCGCCCTCTTGGACAAAGATTTTCTTTAGTGTCTCTTCACTCTTTTCGGTTGGCTCCTTGCCGACATCATCTAGGACCTCCATGTCCTCGTCTTCAATCTCTGCCTCTTTTGGCTCTCGAATGCTGCAAGTAGACTTCATTGCTGCCATGGAGCAATTTTTTGCCTACAGTTGATCTCCTCTAACTTCCTCAATCCCATGCTCTGTTGGGAACCGTAGTAGTTGATACAGTGTTGAGGGAACTGCCCCCATTGCATGCAACCATGGCCTTCCCAGGATGATATTGTACAGCGAGGGTGTATCAATCACAATGAATTCCGTCTTGATTTTCTTCGTGCTGGCTTGAACT